TCTCCATGAGATGGAATCCATGTCTGACACTTTGCAGGTGGACAAGAACCTGAAACTAGGCAGGCATGGACCTAGGGAAAACAGTATACTGTGGTTCTGCCTAAATGGGCATAACATTGAAATGACTCCTAACAACATTCTGCTATGCCCATAGATGAGTATCTAATCCAGCCATCATCAGAGAAGCTTCCTCCTGAAGCAGATGGGAACCAATAAAGAACCCCACAAACGTACAGTGTTCAGAGAGTGAGAAAGTATGGAACACTCAGCTCTAAATGAGATGTCTTAATAAAACCCTTCACCTCACAAAGATTGTAAGAGCAGAGGGGTAGAAGTCCCCAAGGAAACATGCTTAACAGTCGTATTAGGACTGAAGCACATATGACCTCACAGAGCCTGCAGCAGCATGCACAGGGCCTGCGCAGGTCCACACCGGATGGGGTTGAAAGAACTAAGAGGGGAACCAGGCATAAGCACCCATTCCTAACACAGAAGCTGCTTCCAATTGGCAACTGCTCCCCAACGAAAAATCAGTTTTCTCCAAAGGAGTCTTTCAGGGTATACAAACCACATGTGAGGGAGGCCCCGCGCCCAGAAGCAGATGATCAACACAAAATAAACTCAATGGTACTTTTGGAGATGTTTTGTCTTTGTTTGGGCTTTTTTTTTTTTTTTTTACTTTAATGGTCTTTTGTTTATGTATTATTGTTTCCGATTATATGCTTGTATGGGTTTTGGGCCAGTGTGTGTGTGTGTGTGTGTGTGTGTGTGTGTGTGTGTGTGTGTGTGTGTGTGTGTGTGCTTCAGATGTTTTTACTTTTTTTCTTTTTGTTTTATTCTGAGTTAATTGTTTTTTATTTGCCTGTTTGTTTTCTAAAGAGAGAAAAAAAGAAGACGTGGAAGTGAATCCTTACTGAGGTAGGGAGGAACTGGGAGGAGATGAGAGAACAGAAACTACAATCAGAATATATTGTATAAAAAAAATTATTGTAAACAAAGAACATCAAAAATTAATTAATTAAAAAAGAACCTTTATCACATGCTAGCACCTGGATGTCAAACTTTACAGCTTCCAAAACTCTGCTTACATTCCTGTTCCTTGTAAATTATCCGATCTCAAGCACCATCAACAGCAAAATGGGGTTGACCTCTGGTTTTTATAAATCAAAAGTGAAAATATGAACTTCTGTTTAGTCAAGGACTGGAAGTATTTGAATCAGCTTACCACTTATTTTAAGAAGACGATAATTACCTAAACCTTCTGAAGTAACATCTTCATTCTGGGCACTTTCTATGCATTAAAGCAAACCTCAGAGCCACCCTATAAAGTGGAGAACTATCTCCATTTTACAGATGGGGCAAACAGTTGGAGAAGATAGGGCCACACAGCTGGTAAGGAGCCTGGACTTTACACTCTGTCATCCCACCCCACAACTTCATTACCTCTCCTACAAGGCCTTCTCTAAAGGACCTAAGAATCTGCTTTTTACAGTAATGGCACCATCCCCCTGCGGTTTCATTTGTACTATTTATTAGCTCAGTAAAGCTTTAGTTCAGGCAGAATGCAAAAGTAAACTCTAACCCAAGTCCTGCCCTCATTTTCATAAATTCAAAATTTAGTGAGGTCCATGTTAATGGCTTTTACTGTATATGGAAAAGAGTTTAATAGTCACTTAGCCCTGCTCTATCTCCATTAGCCAATCTAAAAAGCCACACAAAGGTGAAGGAAGGAAGAGCAGTGACCTCAAAACTCTAATAGATAAGGAGTGCCTGTAATTTGTACTTCAGCAAAAAGTCAGAATATAAAGTTGTTAATCCATAACAACAAACTCAAGCCTACAAGTTTAAGTGTTCTATTCATCAATTAGAGAAAATTAACCTAATCAGATATTCATATTAAGGATTATACCCATAGTGAATTAGCAATCATAATTAAAAGTCCATTTCAAATCTCTTTGGTGTGCAGTGAAATGATTTAACACAGCCAGACTACTTGTATAAATGAACATATCACATGATCGGTCCTGACTGCTTAATGTGGTTGTCTCTGCTACTCCTGATGCACTTGTTTCTAAAGCAGACATGTTTCCATGTGTATACCCTGAGTGGAAAAGTACACATGATGTGACAACCCACGGAACACAGGTCTGCAACCCTGGTCCCAGTGATCCTACAACTAGATCCATGATATAAAAGCCTTTCCTACACTGGCAAATATTCCAAATTCATCACACACACCTTTGGAGTAGGGCACTTTTAGAATTCTAAGTCCCACAATTTTGTGACATTACACCACCATTTCCTCTTTTCTTGAAGATACCTTTCAAAGAGCCTCTCTGCAAAGACACAGGCTTGGGACACAAGCAAAGCAATTCAGGAGAAGAGCAGCTCTTCTTGTCTTTCAAGCCTGAGACAGAGCATAGAGTCAGGTCATTTGAAGTCAGCCAGGACTCTCGATAGGTCCTCGGCTTCTTGGTATTAGACATCCAGGGTTTGCTTGGTCAGTTTGCTAAGGACCATTATGAGCATCAAGTGTGTTGCCCTGGACATGTGCAGTGAATTAATCCCCCATAGGTACTCTTTATAAAGTATAATTTTTCCTAGTATGTGCTGTACAGTATTCCAACTACCTAGGATTTCTATAGTTTGATAATCTCTTGTCTTCTTGTGCCTGATTGCTTTAGCAAACAGCACACCAGGGTGTCACCACGGGCTTCAGTCTTTTAGTTTCACTTCTAACTCACCTGGCCGGGGCTCCATCGCTACCATAGTCCGTTATAGAGCTCTTTCGTCTCAGGCATTGTGGGTAAAGAAGGTGGAGTCTCTGGGTTTTTCAGAGTCAGGGCAAGAAGAAAAGATCCTTCCACTGAGGCAGGACAAACCATCTCTGAGCTCTCAGAACCCTTTCCAACCTATGAGCTCCTGTTTGCTAATTAAGCAATTAATTAATTAAGCAATTGAGTCTTGTGTAAGATAACTGAAATTCCATTTAGAAGAGTCTAATATCAGAAATTACCAAAAAATAAAGTGCTATCATGTTCACTGCAGTAAAACTTAAAAGATGATACATAAAATGAAATAAATGGGAGACCATAATGTAACCTTTATTGCCGATTTAGGCCAGTGCAGGAGGTAATTTAGTAGGAAAGCTAAAACTCCTCTGCTATACAAACTAGATAATTAAGCCATCTTGGTAAGATAGGCAGTGCGAGCCCCTATTCTTAGAGATAATGTGAGGCTTTCCTTGGTAGAAAGAAGCCCTACTCCATGGAGAAACAACAGTGTGTGGCTTTTACTTGAGCTGGTCCAGGCAACCATCACTAATTTTCCAAACGGGTAAGCTACTCACTTGCGGGACGGAATCAAGGCAGCTGAATCCAGGCTGCAGAGTTAAAGAGTTCTTTTTTATTGTTTACAAAGGGGCCAACAACACTACAAAATGAAAAATGAAGGGGCCGAACGGACTACAGCAAGAGTCTAAACGCCGGGGGAACCACTGGCACTGAGAGTGTGGACACTTTTTCACACTGAGTGAGCAAAACTGGTGAAGGAAAGCTGCGCTCACATCACTTCGTGAAAAGGTGGATGAGAGCTCCGACTTCATCTACAACACGGAATCTTGCAAAACGTAGCAGAAACCAGGCCTACTTGCAAATGCTTTGTCGAACTTTAAGACTTCAGAAATGCTGAGACTTGGTATCTACAAGACATTGTTTAGATAAGTATGCGTGTATGTGTACATGGACAATTTAACCTCCTGTGTCAGCGAGGGTTCCCATGCTCCTTTGTCTCCAGGAACTCGGGAGAACGATGTTTTTTCCTAAATAAGAGTGCTTTAAGCTTGACTGGCCTTCTGTACTATTTTGTTCCGGCTACTGTCATACCACATTCCCCAAGTCACAATGCAGCATAAAGTAAAATCCAACCGACCAAATAAATTGGAGGAGAGATTTACGCTCTAAAATTCTGGCTGCGGACTTATATCTGACAGTGACTAAACTTTCTCACTGGAAACGCTTCTGGGGAAAGTTCCCACTGATCTCTTCAGTGCCAGGGTTTCGGTGGCCGCGGAAGTCCTAGAAAGGCAGACAAGGCTCCTTCTGCCGCGCAGATCTGCCTGGAGTTAAAAGAACTTGAAACGCTCCACGCCTTTCAACCGCCCCCGAAGTTATATCCTTTATCAGATTTTAAAGTTACTCCAAGCCTGCTTGTGGTTCCAAGTTCCTCCGCCCGGTTAGCTCCACAGCGCGGCCCTCTCCTACCCGCGCTTGACGTCATCCGGGCTTTGCAAAGCCCGTGCTTCTGCCCTGGCTCAGGCTTCCCAGCTGCTATTAACGTTATACTGCATTTGGTTAAGTGTGGAGGCTGGCACCAGAGAGGATCCATAATGGTGATTATCATGCAAATCAGCCTCCCGCAAGTCAGGCTCCTCCGTGGAGGCCTTGCAGCTTGGCTTCCCTAGTGCCGCCCCATTGTCCCCAGGATAAAGCTAACCGCTCGGCTGCTGACACAGGACGGCACCGAGGTGGGTTCTCCTGACAGAGATTAGTGGGCAGCGATGAATCTTTCACTTGGGGTAGAAATATGATTTTATTTAAGAAAATAACCATCCATAATTGGGCTTCTGTCGCTTTAAATTTTAATGGGGAGAGTACTGTGGAGGCTGCGGAACTTTAAATTACGGCTTTCAGAAGCGTCTCACTGAATCTTTCAATTATTCTCTGTAAGTACTTTCTCAAAGCATGTGCCACCATGACATTGATATCACAATTCAAATCTAAATTCAAAACTGACTGCAAGGCTATGAGCTATGTGCTGGCGTGCGGGCTGACTCGTTTTATCTCTGAACATCTGACGAGGCGAATCAAGAGGCGCTCTCCCAGAGCCCAGCCAGCTGTTTGCCAAATATTCAAATACCCTGGCATGCAGAAGAGCCTTTCACATTTCCCCACATCAAAATTAACGACGACCCCCTATTTCCCCATTAGTTTCTGGCTCACCTACATCCTTTCTCGCAGGCCCGCCTGCCTCACTCTGCTAAGTGCAGTTCGATGCTGCTCACCTCCAGGTTCCTGACTCCAGCAGCGGACCCAGTGTGTGCTGCAGAATGCCAGCCAGTTCAGACAAAACCATGGGGAGCAGTTTCTAGCCTGCATTTCCTTGAAGTGGATCTGAAAGGGTGGCTGGGCAGATACTTGCTGCAGTCTGAGTATAGAGACAAGAGAGTACATGGCTCTCCTTAAAATGCATCATTAAGCTGGAGCAGAAAACGGACCTGGAAAGACCACAGCAGGCCAAAGGGAAGGCTTTCCTTTCTTGTGCTTTGGTGTCTTAACTTCCTTGTTGCATACCCATTTTCTTTCATCGTTCTAATATCTGCATATTAAAGCAAGCCACCAAAATGAATCCATTTAATTATTTATAGGCCTAACTGTAGACTTTCAATTATTTCAAAATGTGTCCCTGACCTCAGCCTATGCAATTCCATGTTTACAACTGTAAACAACTAAATCCAGCTGCCCTCATGAGTACAACGAAGACACTCGTCTCCTCCCTCACATGTTAAAGGTCCTGAAGCAATTTTCCTCAGCAAACCTCCCTAGGGACAGCTGGAAGGATGCTGTGGATTCTAAAGCATGCTGCTCTTGGGGAGCTTAAAGCAGAAGCGGACCAAGGTGCCATTGACGCAGGACAATAACCTCCACCCCAATGGCTGCTCACATTTCCTGAAACTGGACATCCAATCCAGGTGGAGCTGGGCCAGGCACTTTGTTATTCCTTCTTGGAAAGCCACTTCTTGACGGGTTCATTTCCTGTGACGTGTTTATACTCGGACAGAAGCCGCGCAGCAGGAACACTTTCAGGGCACATCGAGGGGGAAGCTGCTCTCACAGGAGCCGTGAACGCCAGATGTCAAATGAACCAACTTGTGCTACCCAGAATTCTCCATGCAGGATACAAGGGGCATCAAGTCATATCTGAGTAGAATTCCTGAGATGGGGCCTTTGCTTAGCTTATGTAGAGCCGGGTAGAAAATCCCTTATTTTAAAAAATAATATTAACAACAAAAGAAGTGGCACATAAAAGCATCAAAATTATCTGAGAACCAGAAAGGCTGATGGCATTCCAACATGGCCAGGGAAGGTCTTCCCAGGCGCGAGCGATAGGAAGCTCTGTTTGTCATGTGCCCATATTTCCAAAGAACAGGCCCAGATGTGGCTTCCCACTCAGATCAGGCTAGCACACAGAGGTGGCTTCCCTCTCAGATCAGGCTAGCACACAGAGGTGGCTTCCCTCTCAGATCAGGCTAGCACACAGAAGTGGCTTCCCTCTCAGATCAGGCTAGCACACAGAAGTGGGTTCCCTCTCAGATCAGGCTAGCACACAGAGGTGGCTTCCCTCTCAGATCAGGCTAGCACACAGAGGTGGCTTCCCTCTCAGATCAGGCTTAGCACACAGAGGTGGTTTCTAAGATACTAAGCATGGAGAGAAGAAAATTTGCTAAGACTCACATCGGTTTTCAAGACTGCAATTACAATCCTGCTGTATTTGAATATTTAAGGCTTGAAGTGTTGGCAACACAGAAGAGTCACACAGAATTGGTTTGCTCAAACCTTTACTGTAGTCTTGCCTGCTACGCAGTAGATCTCAGTGAGCCAGCTTAGACTGAGCAACAGTCTCCACACCGCAGGATTTCTCAGAGAAAGCACCGCTCTCACCAAGGCCTTTTTGAGGCCTTGCTCAAGTTCCTTCCCCTATGTCTCTCCTGCCAGGAAGCTCTTCCTCTCAGACTTTGTCTCTTTTTGACTAATTCCTTTCCTCAGTTCTGCTCTCATTTCACTCTAAATCACCTGGGGGACTGCCTCGCCCTCCATCCCAGTGTGGGAAACACTAACACATGCCCTCTCACTCATCATTCTTACTGGAAGAAACTGTATCTCTTAAGAGACGGGGAAGAGAGCTGCAGATCCCTCTACTGCCCTCCTCTAGCAATGGTACCACTCATGCCTACGACTTACCTACCTGTGTATGGATGACTTCAAAAATAATATTTGAACCCAGACTCACATATCCAATTGCCTGTTATACTTGTTTTCAGATGACCTACTACCCCAGACTCAAAAAACAAAACATCAAAGCCATCCTGTTTATTTTTACCTCTCTTCCTGTCCTTAACAAGATCCGTGTCCACTGAGTGGCCCTGCTAGTTCGGCTGGCCGTCTCGGCTGTGTTCATAAGCCTCCCTCTCCTGCACACTCCCCGTTCCCACCCCACATCTATCAAGCCTGTCATTACATCCTTTTCCTTCTTCCTCAGGGATACATCTTAAATCTCTTGATCTACCACATACCGTCTCCCAGCTGAGCCTCCAGAGCAGCTTCCACTTCAAGCCTATATCCACACGCTAGTGACTCATCCTAGAAAGCACCGCTCGCAATGTACACGGCTATTTTCATAGCAAACAGACCAGCCTTAAAAATATTTATATATGTAATAGCGTCAGGAACACAGAGTTTAGGAAAACATTGAAGGTGGTGCCAAGTTAACATTAAATTTTCTTTAAAAATTAATCTCAGTATAAAAATTATACAATTTGAAGAAAAATCTTTTAGACGGTTTGAATATATTTTTTAAGAAAATAAGAGCAGCATATGACTGAACGAAGGTTGTGAAGCTTGGAATTAGAAAATAGATCTAAACTCTTTAACATGACAATGGAATGCTTCCCATCGCCCTGACTTCTGCCACCCCTTCGCACACTCCTGCCATTGACACGCACCATCTATGCATCCACTTCCTACATGACACCAGGACACCAGATCCACAAGCTAAAATGGTATTTCATTTAGTTCAAAATTCTGTAGATGAGCTAGGCTATTCCTTCTGGATTGACAAGAATCTGGGCTAATAGCTGATTCTCCCTGGACTCGCCCACTGTTCAAACCACATGCTAACTAGATGACCTAGACGATCTCATCACATGTTGAGTTCCTAAGACTATGAGCAGGGCTTCAGTTCTTCTCTGGGTGGCAATTCATTCCCCTGGCTCATTCAAAAGATAGCCTCAGAGTTCCCACCCCGATCACAACCACTCTTCAAGTCTTGATTATTTCATATCTGCTAATTTCTGTTGACAAAAAACATGTCACAAGATCAACTCAGTCCAGCAATGGGACAAGTGACTCTGCCTCGTAATGGAAGGATCTGCCATGTGAGGTTTATATACAAGGGCTAAAAACCCAAGACTGTTCATCTACCTGTTCTTATCCCAAGTTTATCCCTTAAACATTTCAGGCACACTTGCACTTATGTTCATGCTCCTTTAAGTGTAATGTATTTAGAGTGTCCAGTTTTTCCTTCATCATGACACATCATGACACATCATTAGCACTATTTTGCACCTCTCCATGACTCATTCTCTTTGTTTGTATATTATTAATTATTTTTCAAATTCTTTTATTGTTTGAAAGCTTCATCCATTTATATAACATATTTTACTCATTCCATGCCCTATTCCCTCTCCTACCACAAGAACCTGTCTTCTCAACAAGTGCCCCTCCTAATGTCATGTCTTCTTGTATTCCAAGGTTCTGAGCCAATACACCAGTCTCTGACTTCTTCATTAAAAAAAAAAAAAAAACCCAATCTTTTCCTCATATGCTCCCTTGATCCCTTGTGAACGCCTCTATTTTATCATTTGGGGAATTGTATCATAATTACTTATTGTAAACCTAAAAAGACTGTCTTTGTGCCATAGCATCTAGCACAGTGCCTAGCAAAGTAAATATTCTGTAAGTTAAATTAAACTGAAAAGTTCAAAACAAAGATAAAAACCTGCCTGACACAAACCTATATCACAAGATTAAAGGTGCAGCTACACAAAAGCAGTCATGAGTGAAGAGAGTTGATTATACCGCTCGACTCATTTGAAGGGCACCAGTCAGAGATAAACTTTAAGTCCAAAGCATTTTCCTGAAGGACTGACATAGGTTGAACTTCCAGCACAGATTATTCCAAGATCTGAAATGTTCTTATGAGTCACTGGGACTCAAATGCAGCTACCTACATGACCCTGACCATTTACTTAGCGAATTTCTTAACCTCCTTTTTGTCATCTGTACAGAGCAATCCCTGTGATAAGAACGTATATAAAGTACCTAGCACAATGTGTGCCATACACCTAGCACACATCAAACCCAATGCACTTGGGAGGAGTGACCTCCAGCCTTTTTTTTTAACTGACAAGAACAGAGAAGGAGTAAGAAGAGTGGAAAAGCAAAGCAATGAGAGCAGGTAAACAACTTCACAATTGTGCTGGAAGTCAGGTTTGTGCCTGCTGGATTAAATATGTATATCAACTTCCAAAGATCCCCTCTAAGGAATGGGGCCCCTCCCACTCTGAGGTATTCAGTAGCTATTTCTAGTAGCATAGGACTTGGGAAACTGCATAACTTTGCTAGGTATCAATGAGTACAGAATCACTATATATACTTGTACTTATACAAGACTGCTGGGGAGTTAGTTTTAAAATGAGGTTAAAACATTGATCTTTTTAATATACCAAATCTTACTTTTATCTTTCTTGAATGTAAATGGAAATAATTTTGATAAGGTTATTTCTTCATACATAAGAAAAGAAATTTCATTGAAAAAATTGAGGAGGCACTAGGCACAATAGCTCAAACGCACAATTCCTGAGCTTGGTAAGTTAAGACAGAAGGAATGAACAGTTCATGACCAGCCTGTGTAAACAATGAGTTCAAGTCCAGCGCTGTCAGCCAGTGGTAGAATGTTTGCCTAATATATGTGAGGCCCTGGGTCTCCAGTGCTAAAGGAAGGAAGGAGGGAAAGGAGGGAGGGAGGAAGGGAGGGAGGGAGGGAGCAAGCGAGAACAGAAAGCTGAAAAAGACACTACAAACACACAATTCTAAACTTGATTGTATCCCTTAAGGAAGAAAATGTTGAATTGAAATAAAGTGGTTCTAGATACACTGAAGTCTTGTTCCAAGGTAAAACCAAGTTTTAATGAATAGTGTGTACATGATGTGTGAATGTGTCCCAAGCCCAGGAATCCACCTAACTCTGCCTCAAGCACCGGGATTACAAATCTGCAACTCCAAATTAGGCTTTTTTTAAAATGTGGCTTGAACTCAAGTCCCAGTGATCGAAAACCTAAGACGTGGAATGCTCAGCTAGAGCACCTGATCAAACGCTCCCAAAACAGTCACTGCACCAAAGCCAATGCTCCCCCAAACAGAGCACTAGTGCCCAATGCTCCCCAAAACAGACAAGCAGAGCACCTGAGTCAAACGTTTTCTAAGCAGATGAGAACTGTGCTGTTCATAGTAATTCATCACAAAATTCAGAAGACGTATATGGCAACTTTGAGAGTAACCATTACCATGGCCTGTCCATGATAGATTTTTATTTATCTATGAGTTTAATGATATTTTCTTAAAGAAAGCCATCCAAAAAGAAAGTTGATACTTCATTTTATTTTGAGGATTTTAAGATAATAACAAAAATGTAAAGACAAAAGTGAGGAATATCTCAGACATGCCTTTCTTGTCCTTTATTTCCCATGTTTTTCTCTCTGTGTCTCTGTCTCTGTCTGTCTATCTTACCCTTATACATATATGCATTATCATGTCAGTTTCTTTTACACACATACACTAAAAAATCCTCACATTTTTTAGCCAGAAAAAAAAATACACCTGATTCTCAAGGCCCCCCTCCTTTGTCCATTAATCACTAAACAGTGGTCCCTTATTTCTATATTTATTATGTAGATGGCATGACTAGATAGAACTATTGGTCTCTGCCACTGAGTATGTTGTTGGCATAGGTTCAATTGAGAATGCATCTCTTGTGTGAGGAGGTGCCCTATTCATAGTGCACTGTGTACAAATATTAGGATATGCATAATAGAATCGTTTCTGTTCCCTGTTTTAAAACTCTGGTCAGTCTGTGGTAGTACATGCACAGAACTCAGGAGGCAAAGGCAGGTGAATCTCTGTGAGTTCAAGACCAGCCTGATCAACAGAGAGTTCCAGTCAGCTGGGGCTACACAAATAAACCCTATCTCAAAAAAATAAAAATAAATAAAAATAAAAAATAAACCTCTACGCTGTTGTCACTCTTGAAATTTCTCAAATTCTGTCAGCATCCCTGTGGTACTTATGTACAGTTTGAACTAACTCCATCTATTTCTTGGTATGTGTCTTCATAATCTTCAGTATCTCCTGTGACCTTTCATTCTAACCACCATTAAATACCCAAAACTCAAATTCTCTTCTTTACAGATTTCCCTAATCCACCTCTCACCACCTGTTGCTGGATCCTAATGGCTCCCTCAGGGGAGGGGTGAGAAGGCATGTGATCAATTGTACAGACTCTGGCAGTCTGTTGAAGGCAAACAACAAACTCATTTATTTAATAATGGGGAAGGCCTTATATGCCCTCCTCCCAGCACCCAGTCTGTGTTGCAACCCAATGGCATTGTATGGTCATCCCTCATTGGCTGGTCACAATCAGGAACTCTGACAGTGACCAGGGTCTCTGACAGTGTGTATTGCTAGGCCCTTAGGCAGACTCCAGGTTGGCTCATAAGGAAGCACATTATGTGCATGCCTTGGCAACTTGTCTGAGCCAATTTCCTCAACCCTATGGGCCTGTCCTACTACAACCACCTTTATACCTAGATTATAAGGAGTAGAGGTTAATTTATTAATTATTAATATTAAACATTAAATTATTAATTATTAATTTAAAGGCTGACAAAAATGCCTAGGTGTGTTTGCTGGTGGTAAATTCCTTAATCCATTCAAGTACAAAGACCTAAGGACCAAAGATTTTGATGTCTCTCCAATTCCATGTAAAGTGAAATGAAATCAATATTAAATCATAAAGAACTAAATTTACAAGTATGTTCAAATTAAAATAACATGTGTTGACAAAAAATTTTAGTTCATCAAGACCCACTCATTTTCCTCCTGATATCAAGCACATGAGGAAATAAGGAAGAGAGAGAGAGAGAGAAAGAGAGAGAGAGAGAGAGAACTCCAGCTTGCTGGTACTTGGCCTGCTATATGTTACTTCAATTCTTGGTCCTCTTCAAAAAATATGTCAAAATAACTAATGTGGGTACAAGTACTTACATAATGGAGTATAGAAAGGAAAATATAATGACATTCCCTGAAAGTGTGCAAATTCAGTTTCAGCATATGGTAAACTATAACATAATCCAAATAACACAGTGTGATGTCATTTCACTGATGGTTACAACTATACTGTGATTACGCATATAAAAGAGGTGCAGAAAATGTGAGAATCACAACGTAT